TTTATCTCAATGTTCAGCAATCTTGTTGCAGATCATAGTTCCATGCTTTTTCCTTCTCAAATTGTTGTTCCCAGTCACGAGCTCCTACCCACTTGGTTCGGCTATTCGGCTCCTCGTGCTTTTCCTTCATGAGCTTCGGTTGGAGGAGTGCCTTGGAGTTCGATGGCTGCTAAAGTGCATTTTGCATTATTTGATAGGATTATGGGAGCGTTTTTTGCATGGGTGGCTTGTCCACCCCTATTTTCCACTCATCCTTTCAATTTGATGGTTCTTCTTACCAATGGCGGCGGCTTGGCGATGGTGGTGCGACTGTTTTTGTGGAAGCGGTCGATTCTCGTTTTCACATTTAGGGTTTTCAGTTTAGGCTTTATCTTGGACTCACTTTTGGGGCTTGTTTCTTTACTTTTGTAATGGGTTGCACTTTTACTGTGTTGTGGACTGTTTTCGAACTAGCCTTGCTTTGTATTAGTGTGTTTTATCTTTAATAAATTAGTTGTTTGACCAAAAAAAAATAAAGACCAAGATTAATTTAAAATCAACAAGAATTAAAGTGACCTTCTCTATAGTGTTCATCTTGCGGATATATGAACAAAGTAGGATATTTCATGCAATATTGACCGGATTATAAAGTGAAAAGTGAGCTTGTGAAGATACCAAGCAAAAGTGCGAAGTCGAGAAAAAACAAAAGCCTATAAATTCGTTGTCCATTATAACACTGTGAGTAAAAGGCAAAGGAAATGAAACTTTGACCGCAAAACTCACAATAATGTAAAGACATTTTGGATCATTTGATCGACCCAAATCCCCATTGTCAAACACATGAACCAATCCTAGCAATTATTGTCCCTCAAAATTTGAGATTCTTACTCATTTCTTTCTCCCCAATGGGGTCACCCCACCATGTTTGAAGGAATCAAACCAATCAACATTTTTCGATTTCAGCCACTCATGCATTCTCAAGTTAGCTAGATCAGTCTGCTCCTTTAACACTCAAGTTCGAATCTATCTTCTCGTAGTGTAGGTTAAATTTCAACATCGCTCGAACTAATGTGCTTCCTTTTGTAGCCAAAGGTCGAATCCTCATATCCGTAGTTTAGATTAAATTAAAATATTGCTCAAACTAACGTGCTCCATTTGCATCCTAGTTCAAATCTCAATCGTTTTTATCTAATTTAAATTAGAATATCACTTGAACTAAGTCGTCGTGACTATTCTTTCTCCTTTTTTTGGGTATGTAACAGCTTCCATGATCCACAATTTGCCTCAAGAGTCAAAAGGTTGCCATGAAAACATCCCGACATGCTTCTTCATGGAGGAGATAAAAGGAGGGAAGGAAAGAAAAAAGAGGGGAGGAGGCTCATAATCCAATGGCCTCAATAGGGAAATGAGGCGGATAGTGATTTGTTTAAGGTCATGGTTGGACTTGTTTGTCAACTGTTGTAGGCTACTATTGTCTGTCTGCAACTCAGCCTCGGGGCCGTGTTTGCCTCTGAATTACTTGCCTTTATGATCTTACTGACATTTTGTTCAACAATATTTGTCTTAAATATGAGAAGTTTTAGGTTCAATTCTCGTCAAATACGAATTTAAACTATATTATTGCTAGTTTATTGTAAGACTTAGCGCACTCCCTCATCCTTTAGTGTAGATAATATTGTTTGTTCAAAAATATTTGTCTTAAACCTCAACCTTGGGGTTCATGTAATCTTCCTTTGCTAATGACTAATTCTTGTTTCTTCTATGGAAAATATGCTAAAGAGACTCTCACGAAAGTGAGTGAGATTTTTCATGAATTTTCTGCCACCTCATATTTTTAGCACAACGTTTTATAATATTCACAAGAAAATTAACATTACACTGTAAAGTGGAACAAAGTACATAAAGAGCCTTACTTTGAAAAAGTCTACTTGCATATACACATAGCATCTAGTTTTTCCACATAATTGATCATAACAAATACTCTTATTTTACATAAGCGATAATTACACTAAATTCATCAAAATTAAAGAGAAAGTGTTTGAACTTGTGTGCATTCGAAGGAGCACACTACTTCAGCCAATTTTACTAAGCCCAAATATTCAATATACTTTCAAATCTTATTCCGACCAACTCCCAATAGAAAAGTTCTAAAATATATTATATGATTCAAAACTGAAACCAAAATTATGAAATCCATAAAAATCCAACAAGAATCGGATGGGAATTAGAATGTATTTGAATATTCCGACTTTAATCCAAAACTTGCCTAACTCTATTACGTACACTTATAATATAAGGAGTGCAATTGGAAGACAGGACACGATTCAAATACACCCCTGTTAAGGACTTGCAAAACAATATGAATATATGATAGTTTTTGTACAAAAGGTGAACACTTTTTTTCTAGGAATCCAAATACACCTCCAAGGAGTCCAATTCCTGAAATTTCAGGAGTGTAATTCCCTATCCGCCTAGTTGTCATCACTATTTTGACCTAATTTTTGAATTCCGAAAGCTCAATTGGCAACATCTGGATCATGCATCTTCCGTTTTTCTTTGCTTCCTTTTTGCTTATCACGTCCCGGAGACCCTTGCAATAACGTTGAGGTCATATCTTCTTCAAAATAATCGCCAAGATTAACAGTTAGAACACTATCCGTTTGCGATCTTACCACTTGAACGACCAGAGATTTATGTCACTTTAGACAATCTTGAAGATGTTTCGAGCATGAAACAATGCAAAAGTTTATTTTAGGCTTATCAATGACCGTAAATATAACAACGCTTTTTCGACATAGGCATGGATTAAATAAAGATCGATTAGTTGACGTATATAATTATGCACATGAAGAAAAAAAATTATGAAGGGACACATTCACCACTTCACACTGCCACTCCTTTCACTTTCACTTGATTCACTTACTGCTACTTTGTTCAATCATCCCTTCCAAAACCGGATTCACCAAACCATGAATCCGTGCAAAGAAAGAGGCTCGGGAAGAGGAATTCCCATAGAAGGGACTCGACTGCAAGGACGAGGGGAATCGGCAGAAGGGAGAGGAATCGTACCTATTGTACTCTAATAGTCCCTTTCTGCGGATGAGTTGATATCAAGTGCGGGAAGAAAAAGATTACAAAATAATAAGAATATTATTAAACAAAAGGGTGTGCTATTCACACATCTCATTTTACTTCTCACACACCCCTTGATAATTTCTGCCTGTTGATCTTCTTCAATTCATCCGATCCGACGGCCGAAAATTCAAAAGGTGTGTGAGAAGTAAAATGAGATCTGTGGATATCACACCCCTAAACAAATAAGAATGTCAAAATGGCTTCAAAACCTCAAGAGGTTACATCGTGACTAACATGTCATTCATATTAAACTATAAGCTATATTTATAGAGAGCAAAACCTAGAAACCCTAATTCGGATTACACTCATATACCTAAACTAACAAACAAACCCAAATAATGATAAAATACTAAAATTTTCCAACAAGACGATCATATAGAAAGAAAGGTATAAGCCCGCTTCTCAAAGAAATCCATAACTAAATAAATTGGTAGTCGTTTGGTGGGTTGAATGAGATTGGGCCTTAGGAATGAGATTTGATTGGCAAGGCCTTATGCGACAAAACTTGTAACCCATGTGTAAGGATATATTAAATAATACATCTATTGTGGATTCATAACTCATCATGTCCAATCCTATCCATATCACATTTTGGCACAACAAATAACAAACTGAACTCAAGTCCATTTTAATTGGGTTACAACCTATCTCATCCAGCCCACCAAACTGGCTGGTTCATGGTCTTGGTATAAATGGCGTTGACGGTTCGTGGCTTTTCGTCCACCAATGGGGTGTTGATGCTTTAAACAATTCAGGACACGATTCCAAAACTCGTTGTGTCTTGATAATTGCCAGTAGCACCATCTTCCTTAACGGATACTCATGCCAAGCACAAAGGTTCATCTTCATCTCTAACCCAATTCGGCCTTCTTACAAAAGCTTTTGCCATCTTGAAAAAACTTGGAAGTGGGTAGAAAAAGATCGGCATTCTTGTAAGAGGAAGGGTATTTCTAGAGGAATAACACTTGGCTACTCAAAGATGAGTAAGAGTTCCTACTCCAAATTTTTTGTAGTTGACCCACAGATTCACAAAACTTCGTGATTATGATCATATGACCGTTCATATTATAAAGTACTACGTAATTAATTAAAACCTAGGTCGTTTAGTCAACTGTAACAAATAGACAAACGAATCGTAAAATTGCAATTAATTGCCTAAAAGAATCAATTTGCAACAATTGATTGAGTAAACGATTTTGATTTTAATTGATTTTATTTTATAGATTGTCCTTACGGAGATTTATAATGACAATGTTTGGCACCTCGAGATTGAGGAGGAATTCTTCCTCAATTTACTTAGTGGCTGATTCACAGAAGTCGTATTTATAATTGAAAACTATAAAACTCTATGAAGATAATCTCTACAAAAAATCAATTAAAATTAAAGTTGTTTGGTCGATCAATTGTAGCACTTAATGCTTTTATCGAATCTATCTATATGTTTTTGTACAAGTTAATGACAGTGGTGCTTATAGAACAAGAGGGCTTTCCTTTATTGGTTTTCCGCAAGCGACTAATAAACTAGTTAGCGTACAATAAAACCATCCAATACGATGAATTAACGGTCTTTTTGATAACCATTTCGTGTTTACATTTTAATTTTCAATTGTGCTACAGATACATGGAAAGCATATGAAAAAGATTAAGGTATGGAGAATGATGAAATGAACTTGCGAGGAAGGAGTGAAACAACTTAAAATTATTTTCAGTTTCGCTTTCAGTTTTCATTGTGTGTTCCATTCTCTACACATTCCTTTCGCATTTCTTCCGCCATATTTTCTCCACCCTTCTTCATTCATCCTTTCTCCCACATATTTTCCTCTATCTATCATACGAAAAATGAAAACTAAAAACTAAACACAAGGTTACCAAACGAGCCCTAAGCAGGTCAAAATTAGAGCATGACTTGGTATCAGAAAACTTGACTGCTACCCCATACGTTCCATGGGAAACAATACTGAGAAGATATGAGACAACTAAATACAGAAAGATTACAGGAAACAAGTTCATAAGAAAGCAAAACAGATGTAGCTGAGTGTCAAAATTGCTTTGCATTTTGGCGTAAGGTTCTATGAACCCAAAATAGCTCTGATCAGTCTTCAAAATTGCCCTGGAGCTAAACCTGAAGGGACAAGTATATACAGAGCCAACATCAAGCTACCCCTATAGATTTACATCTTTACAGCTACCTCTGTTACTCTTCCGCCTCATCATCGTCGCTGTCAATTTCATCACTGGAGGACCTAGTCTGGAGGCTCATACGCCTAGGGATGTACACGTTATAGTAGTAATTCAAAATGTTCTTCCGAGACTTGGAAGGGAAACGCTTATAGGCGATCTTCCAAAAACTTGCTTCATTTGATAGTGGATTCACTTTCACAAGAGATTCAAAGTTCTGCTGTTCAGTTGATGTCCATGACTTTGAGACAAATTCTCCCATTTCGTCAAACTTCCAACTCCGGAAGGCAGGACCAAGTTCGAATTGCAAGAGGAGTCTTTGTTCATGAATGTGGAGTTTAACACAACCAACAGATCCTGGAGATATGCAAGAACAAGAGTTGGATCTCCCTTTCCCAAGTGCTTTCACTGTGGTTCCTGCACTTTTTCCTTTAATGGGCCACGTTCGCGTGCCCAACCACTTTAACGCTGCTGAATCACCACCACCATAAAGAGTTTTCCTATTTACTGCACCTGTCCATTCTGGGATGTCCGCCTGAAAACAAGGACCAGTCGGAACAACAGATATTGGAAGACTACCATCTGTAAATAGTAATCTCACCGCTTCTCGAAGTTTCAGATTTTGCTCCATTGACCTGGATGAATCTGAATGGTGAACTGAACCATCAAAATCTCTCACAGGAATACATCTTGGAAGATAATCATCACTAAAAATCATACACCTCAACGCACGTTCAAGTTCTGTACTATTCTCTTCTAAACTTGGAGAGTCTGAGCTATTGGCTGTATCATTGACATTCGCAAAAGTTGCATCAGAGAATTTCAAGTTTTTGGGATTCAATGTGTTCAGACCATTGTTCGATTCATCTGTATCAAATAAAGGAGAGGCAGAATTATCCTTGCAAGATGCACCATAGTTTTCCATATCCATAGAGGTCAAATATGTTGAACCTGGCTTCCCTTGATATTCATCTTCAGATGTTAACAAACTTCCGGAACCGTGAGAGCTAGAGAGAAGCTGTGGTTTGGAAATTCCATTGTTGGCAGTTGCATGGGTTAAGCATGAGACGGAATGCCCTGTACTCAATCTTTTGACACTATGGACATCAGATTTCTCAGGATGCAATCGAGAAACTTCTGCTAACTTACTAACTTTTAGGAACTGATCAAGTGTTCGCTTTCTCTGTATAAAAAAAGGGAGGAAAGGTCGTTTTCATAAGATTGGGGCTGAAGAACGAAGTTCATGGTAAGAGATAACTTCTGAACTGGCAAATGCCTTAAAATACAAAGAAAACAACTCAAAATTAGATAAATTATCACCAATTGTAAGCAAGGGTGAAATGTTTTGAAATTTGGATACCAAAACGTTTCACTTGAGTAGTGTTATGTCATTAAGTAGAAGAAACAAATTTATGTCCAGCAATAAGCTAGCTCAATAGCCCTCTCCTTCCAGTAATGATTGTGGAAGAGCTTATCAAGAATATGACGTTATTTGAGATAACTTTTAAGACAACGAAACACGATGATGAGTCGACTATGAGTTAGATGATGGGTCAAGTCAAAGTTAGATATTTGAAGAAATGCTCCTAAGGTATGCTTGACATCCAGGATAAGTTGCTTTTCAGATCGAGCGAAAAGATATGATATGTTAGCATAAAACTGGTAGATCACAGGTATGTAACAGGATAACCAGTCTTATCACTAGTGCAATACAGTATACAACTTGATTGGGCTTCTCACCATCAGTAGAGAACCCAGCATGTAGAATCAAATTTACATTTATTAGGATGTAACCCAACTATTGTTCATTATCCCAGCATACTAATATGGTAAATGGTTCAGTCAAATTAACAAATACACATTTATCACTAAGACAACAATGCAATGAGATTAAGAAAAAAAATACCAATGTTGTATTGAACGTACCCGAGGAGATTCGGCATTACCAAGAAGCAAGAATTTCCGCACTTTAAGACTCTGATTCCATAGTTGTCGAGCTGAATCAGGAGATGCTTTCTGGTCACAAGGGTCCAGAGCAAGTCCTTTCAACCACACCAACATGTCAGAATCAGCATAGAGGCCAAAAGGTGATTTCCATTTTTGCAGCTGGTCCCCCATTGGAAAAGAAGCTTTCTTAGCACTCTCTTGATTGTCATGACCACGACTTCTTGAAGGAGCCATTTTAGCAATGTAATGATGTTATCCTTCAAATCCTAATCAAGCCCTGTACAAAATTTTCTCACCATTATCAGGTGCCGCTTTCTAGCTTATACTCAATGTAGCAGTAGATGGTAAACAAATAACAAAATTTCAAACCTAGAGTCCAGTACTCTATTTTGTTTAAGGAATGTAAAAACGTCAAATTTAGCACTAAACATTGGCTCTCTACTATCATGGGACCTCTACACATTGAAAACCATGACTAGATCGAGAACTCAGAAAGAAGGTAAAGAAAACTTGAAAACTCAAGTGCTCTACCCTGATCTGACTTCCTCAACCCTCCTTAAACCTAGGTTGAAGACCATTCATCCAGGAGGGAAGACTTCCATCCAGAAGAACAAGAGACAACTTCTTCAGAAACAAAAGAGACAACAACGCTCGGAGTTCCCCTAGTCCAAAGTCATCAACATTGATTCACACTGTTAAACTACCACTGGACATCAAAAGCTTAAGCTAACCTTAAGTTGTTAGAGGATGAACCAACAATGCATATCAAGCTAATGAGCACAAGTGCTCGCTCTGGCATCGTACCTAGTTCTAATCAACCTAATCCTATAATAGTGAGCAAAAATATGCGTAACAAGAAATTCGACAAAGTCAGCTCCGAACTCATGGGATCTCATCCAATTAGGAAACTATAGCCGTAAAAAGCCCCCATCAGTTACACTACTCAGCATTCATGTTCTTACTGTTTGAGACCCTTTGTCCGAGCACAATGCTCGTGTCCAACGGGTTTTATTTTGCCAAACCGAACCCAAGAATTCTAAACCCATCCTCTTCAATATGGTTTTTAGAAACTAATGGCATCCAACATTCTCATGCTAGTGTTTGGAATGCTGAGAACAGAAATGTCATTATCACTGACACCAACAAAAAACTTCTACACGAAACATGAATTTAATGGCATTTTCGCCACCTGACTTACTATAAAAGTTAAAACAACATAATAAATTCCTGAATTTTGACACAAAAACCAAACACATTTTAATTTTCTGCCCCCAAAAAAGCAAAGAATTTGAACTTGCCAGACATGCATAAAAAAAGTTAACACTACAATTGCAAACAGAAAATACGTCAGCACAAAAATGGAATTTCGATCGAGATTCAAGATCTTTCAATTTGCCAGGAAACTTCAAAAATGAACATTTCCGGGGAAAATATTCCGACCCATTTTCCGTCGAACCAAACAGAACCTCCAGCAGCCATTTGCTGACAAGAGCAACACCCAAAACCCTAAAGTGGGTAACTTTAGCAATGGAATTTGCATCTTCGTCAAGTTCTAATTAATCAAACTTACAGCATTACACTAATTAATGGTTGGGTTTTTCTACTAAAGTGTTTAGTAGCTTTGGGTTCAGATGGAAAAAAGGTTTATGCATAGAAGGAGGGAGGAGGACTGACCTCGGTCGCTTCAGGTGGCGACCGCCATTAATGGGCTTTGGAGAAACTCTCTAGAAAAAAGGAAGAGTGAGTGTAGGGGTAAAAATGTACCTTTAGGAGAGCCGGGTACACAGGACGGGTCCGGACTCCGGAAACTTGTGGATTCTGGTTTGCTCCTGTGGTCCCTGGAGAAAAAACTAAAAAGAGAAAATCACATTGAGGAAAGCAAGCGATGTTGATGGCTAATTTTGCATTTAATATATCATATCTATTTGGATGAAAAAATAAAAAAAAATTGTTGTAGGTCTATTTTACTGACAGTAAAAAGAGGGAAAGGTGCCTGCGGTAAAGACAAAGATAAGAGAGGATTTGATGATTCTATGGTGATGATTTCTCATCCCGTATTTTTATTTATAACAGTAAGGAAGGAAAAATTCGTGTCTTTCAAGTAATGCATTACAACTAGGAAACTATTTAACAAATGTTACAAAATCCTAAAAGATTTACATAATCACATAGCAACTAATTTAGAATTGCAACAAAAGTGAAATAATAATATAATAAAATCATAAAAAGGATCGAGAGGAGAGAACTAAAGAACGAGAAACTTTTATATGTAGTTGAAACATAATTTGTTATTGTTATAATATAGGTGGACGATATAGTTGATATGTTTCACTTTTAGGGTATATTTCCCAATATTCTTCCACTTATATTATAGGAGTAATTAGAATCCCTTACAAATTTTTTTTTCCAACTTGTATAGACTAAGAAGGGTGTATTCAATTAGGATTCTGTAGAGATTCTATGTAAATTTTTTATTCAATTCTCTCGAAATCTCAAGATGAGAGGTGAGATTTGTGAATGCTTAAAATACACTATGAAATCTCTCAATTCCCCTCAAATTCCTCAGTTTTTTAATAATCTTTAAACAAATTCCTAATTGAATACATCTAAAATGTTATAAATTCCTTTAAAATACACCCCTATTTCTAAAGATTTTAATAAACTATCTTAAAATCTTGATTTGAATACACATTGAATTTCAGAGAATGAGTTCGTTTGGATGTGCTTTTAAAATGACTGAAAGTGCTTTTATAAAAAATATTTTTGCGTTCCAAAAGCACTTGAAGTACTTTTTGCAAGAAGTAACAGTTATGTGTTTCTTCCATAACACACTTTAAGTGCTTTTTCAAGATTCACTTGTATCTGTACTAAATATTGGTTCTAAAAATATTTTCATCAAAAGTGCTTTGATCATTTTAAAAGCACATCCAAACGAGCTTACTTAAAATCATGATTGAAGAATTACTTAAAATCATGATTGAATAATTACTTAAAATCATAATTGAGTACCCTTAGATTTTTTAAAAGAATAAAATCCTTCAAAATCCTAATTCAATACACCCTCTTAAACATCTGTTACTTTATAAAATTTGATTAAAATGCTTTGACCATATATAGATATATATATATCTACTAAAGTTAGATAAACAACTAATTTCCTACCATCTAGAAATTTTAAATTCGTGGTTTTTTCTATTAAAAATATTAATTTAACTAATTTCTCATTATCACTAAAAAAAAGAAATAACTTTTTATTTCAGTTATATTAGTTATATAAAAATTTATTTAAAATTTATGATATATTTAAAAATAAACATACAGACTTTTAGTACGTTTAGATTCTAAATGTATCAATAACAAAATGTACTAGAAATTCAAATGTATCGTAGAACAAAATCTACCGATATCATAGATAATCAAACAAATTCATACAATCATACGTACCTTTACTGTGACATCCCACATCGTCCAGAGGAGTGATCCTTAAATGTATATTCTCATCCCTACCTAGCACGAGGCCTTTTGGGAGCTCACCGGCTTTGGGTTCCGTAGGAACTCTGAAGTTAAGTGAGAAGGGGGTTAGAACAATCCCATGATGGGTGACCCACTGGGAAGTTGCTCGTGAGTTCCCAAAAACAAAACCGTGAGGGAATGGTAAGCCCAAAGCGAAAAATATCGTGTGGTAAAAGGGGCCCGAGAAGTGGTCCCGCCTGGGTCAGAATGTGATAATTGGTATCAGAGCCTAACCCTGGTCGCGAGTGTGCCGACGATGAAGTCAGGCCCCTAAGGGGGGTGGATTATGACATCCCACATCGCCTAGGGAAGTGATCCTTAAATGTATATTTTCATCCCTACCTAGCACGAGGCCTTTTGGGAGCTCACTGGCTTTGAGTTCCGTAGGAACTCCAAAGTTAAGCGAGAAGGGGGCTAGAACATTCCCATGATGGGTGACCCACTGGAAAGTTACTTGTGAGTTCCCAAAAACAAAACCGTGAGGGAATGGTAAGCCCAAAGCGGACAATATCGTGCTACGGTGATGGAGCGGGGCTGGGAAGTGATCTGCCCCAGGCCGGGATGTGACAAATTGGTATCAGAGCCTAACCCTGGCCGTGGTGTGCCGACGAGGACGTCGGGCCTCTAAGGAAGGTGGATTGTGACATCCCACATCACCCAGGGGAGTGATCCTTATATGTATATTCTTATCCTTACCTAGCACGAGGCCTTTTGGGAGCTCACTGGCTTCAGGTTTCGTAGGAACTCCGAAGTTAAGCGAGAATGAGGCTAGAGCAATCCCATGATGGATGACCCACTGGGAAGTTGCTCGTGAGTTCCCGAAAACAAAACCGTGAGGCTTTGGTAAGCCCAAAGCGGACAATATCGTGCTACGGTGGAGGCGAGTCCGGGATGTGGTGGGGCCTGAGCCGGGATATGACATTTACTATGTTTATGTACATGAAAATGAGTTTTGAACATTGTATTTAACTCACTAAAATAAATATTATTAAAAAAAAGTGTAAAATTGAACCTCTAATAAAATGAAATTAATCATCAAAATTGTATGAAAATGTTTAACTAAAGAATCTTAAAAGAAACAAATGTTAAATTAACGAAATTAAAAAAGGAAAGTAATCATCTCTGAAGCCCTACCTCCTAATCCTCCTCATCAAACAATCCAGGCCTTTGAAATTTGATCCAAAGCTAAAAAACACTGGCCAACTTTAAAAGTTATAATAACTTTAGCCGTTGTATCAAATTTCAAGGGTCCATATTGTTTGATGATGATGATTAGGTGAAAAAGATCTGGAGATGATCCCTTCCCGGTAAAAAAACGAGACACGTATGTCAGAATGCTTCTATAATATTACACGTGTACTGCACTGAAAATCTATCTATAGATCATCCATGAAAGATTATGTAGGTTAAACAGACTAACACTTCAAGTTCGCAATGCTAATAAATTGCCAAACAATGTAAGTTTTATGATGATAATTAGATGATTAAATAGCTTCATGTTTTTAGCTTTTTTTTTTTTTTTTTCATCACTGAACTTGAAATTTCAATTTCGTCTTAATGACTTGAAAATTTTCATCACTGACAACCCAAATCAAATATTAGAAATAGAACTGGAAATGTATCTGTAAACAAGTAATCTACTGAAATAAGTAGCAGAAGAATACGTGTACAAAATAAAATTTTGAACTAATAAATATTTAGGGTTACAACTTCTGTGGTTTATTCTCTTACAAGAATATTCTTCTGATTCGATTTCCAAGGTAGAATTTGATTCAAGGCTGATGAATATTTGGTCTTGAATTAGGCTTGTCGTTTCTTCAAGAGATGTTGGGGCTTGATCTTGAATAAAACTAGACCACGCGTGGTGTCACGTGGTGAATTATAACCTCTGACTACAAGACTTTATCCTCTGATTCGATCTCCAAATATACAAAGTGTGTATATAGGGGTGGTTGATCTAAGAGTCATAGAAACTTGATCTTGAATCAACGGCCACTGCAAGAGTTTAGCTTGTGATGTGTAGAATGTTGGCTTGTAGTGATGGAGGAACAAGGTGGTGCTTGGTGGTTATTCACAAAAGCAACGATGAAGGCAAAGAGGTTTTTTTTAGTCTTTTGAGTGTTTAGTGTGTCTGAGCGTTTAGTGTGTTTGAGAGTTTGAACGTCTGAGGATTCCTTTCTTCGTCTTGGAGCCTCGTATTTATTGGCCTCACTATAACTTTTTGCATTGAATCAATTTATTGCTAAGCCTTGATTTATAGAATTTGTCTCCATGATTTGTCTTGATTGGAGCCTGATTTGGTATTAAGTTGAACCAAATCAATTAATTTGTCCATTTGACCAGATTATTTAATTGGTCTACCATATTTTTAAATTCTAAAAAGTATAAATTCAGCGGATGACGCTTTACCACAGTGACGTAAAATAATTATGCCTATGCACCTTGACATGGGTTCAATCATTCCATCGATTCTTCTCTCCCTTAACAACTAATTATTTAACCAACTAACGATATTGCTCTACTAAAGAAAAATACAAATTTCAAAATACGTTGGATTTTTTAGCTTAAACAACAATGTTCGACATCATGTTCAAATAAAAAGGATATAATGATTAAGGAGACAAAAAAGGACTCTCTCCACATATATTAATAGTATTGCGGTTAGTAGTATTACTCTTCAATTAAAAATGAGAGGTCTTAAATTTAAATTATGAATGACTAATTTTGTACTTAATTATTATGGTTTGATTATTGTGCAGCTTACCAAATCTCTCTCCACTAAAAGTAGAAAATCTTTAGGGAACAATTTGAAAACAAATTTAAAATGAATTGGAATACAATTTGCATTCGGAAGAATTATGGATTAGAATCTGAAGCCCTTAATTCTGATATAATCCGTTAGAAACTTCAAAAATATCATCCATGCATATATTACCAAGTGGTATCGTTTTAGTGGTATCGCCTTCACTTGTAAGATCTCTTACTAAAAACGATACCACTAAAAGTGATATCATCCCCCGCCCTCCCTTTTCCTTAATGTAAATAATATAGTTCGTTCAAAAAAAAAAAAAAGAATCAACTAGAGGGGCTAGCTAAATCGATTCCCTCTTTCCCATTTATAAGTTCTCATATTCCTTCCTTCTCCAATTTCTTTTGACTAAGTAAACAAACCCCATATGCAATTGGAAAGTGTGGTCATTTATTGCATAGGAATCAAACTATTAACTTATAAGTTTAATATATTGAACTCGTTAACTCGCATTACCAGCTCATAGCAAAGTCTAGCCAGGCCCAGTTGCGTGGTGAAATCTTTCTTTAATACAAATTATTAAGAGCCCATCAATAGAATTTGTCTTTAAAACCGACTCTTAAAATATGCTATTTTTCCGATGTCCAACAATTGAATCCTAACAGTGACTCCCAACCGGCCAGCTAGAACCTTTGAATCCTGAGCCTCGGCAGCATCCGAATCCATCAACTTCATCAGTTCCCCACTCCTTACGTCTTTAACCAGTCGGCGGTCCCATCATCGCCTATCGTTATCATCCTCGGAAACCGTAGGCTCATGAGCTGCATGTTATATCATCACCAACCATGCACGTGATATCCAACAAAATGCAAAGTAAAGTTCAATATTAGAGCAGCTTAAATCTATTATTTTGTTATCCGTACGTTCATATGCACACATCTATTAAGAGAACTAGAAGATAATCTCAGCAGCCGCTACAAGACAATTTGGGGGACAAACTGTAAAATTCAAAGAACAATGAAGTATGGTTTGCATCTTCGTGCTTCATCACCTCTTTGTACAAGGTGGACTCTCAGACCAACTTGATGCGCAGTTTAGGGGTATTCAATCAAAATAATAGTGTTTACAAAAGTCTATAAAAATTATAAAAATTTAGGTGTATTTTATCAAGATTCTTAGAGAGTTTATGACTACCACCGTCATGTTTCGTCCCACTAGTATAAGATCATGTGTAGAAAGTTTATACAAATGATTTTGTATTAATGGCTCGAGACATTACAGTTGAGTGAACTAATTCTATGAAAGTTTATCTCTTATAAAAGTCTATGTATATTCCGTTAGGATTTGACTTTAAATAATTTTAAAATGTGATAGATTTTGGAAGATTTGGAGAGATTCTCATTGTGTAGGTTGGGCCTTATCAAAGTTCTGCCTCTTTCTCTAAAATATTAAAAGAATCCACTCAATTTTACATGGAGCCTAGGAAGTCCATTAAACTTTCGTCAAATCCTATAAATTTATAACTCCATTAAAATCTTTTAAAAATCTCAATCGAATCTACCAAACTTGGATATATCTATTACAAAATATAGTCTAATTATGAAATATTCTCTTCTTACACAAAAATAGTCTAATTATTCGAGTTGGCATTGTTCTCAGAAATTCCACAGGTGAAAGGTGCTTGGATTGCAGGTTTTTGTGCCAACCTTGATCGAGGTGAGATTTTTTATGCTGAAAGAAATATCATGTGCGTTTATTGGTTTGCAATTTGCATGAAATAAAGGTTTTGAAAAGATTTTGGTTGAATCTGATTCAGCCCTCAAATTAATATTTGAAATCGCCTAAGACCATCTTCAACCCTTGGAGTAAAACTTAAAAATGTTAACCCAGAAACAACTTTTTTGTTCCAACCCTTCTAGCCTAAAATTTTAGCCCTAGATTATTAAAGAATGAATATCACCCGTTAGATTTAAAGGAGATGGAAATATATGCCGTCTGATAGAAATAAAGGAGATGAGATTGCATATGGGTGGCCGACAACCCCATCAGGTTGGGCCCCACTTCCCTTCAAAGTGTCCCATTTTCCTTGCTTTTAGCGCGTTAATTAGCGTGCTTTTTCTTTTTTTTTGCAGCACGTTTATGCACACAGTGGGCCAGGATATTTAGCCCAGGCCGGTTTTTTGGCTGGTATTTGAGTTTTTTTTTTTTTTAGTTTTAGCACTTAACCCAATTTTAGAACAAAAGTTGGAATGAAATGGGAGGGAAGAATGGAAAGGAAATTTTAGAACTTACTCCAAGGATTGGAGTTAGTCTAAGAAAAGCACAATAAATACTTGAAATCTTGAAGTTTTGGTTAGACAATTAGAATAATATTTTTCACAACTCTACCATTCACGTGAGGAAGCAAATGAAGGGTTGGTGCGTTTATACTTGAGCATGACCTTACATGGTCCATGGCTCACATTATAATAATATTCTGTATTTATTTGTCGACCGTCGAAGTCCAAATCGATTGCTTTCAACGTCTTTGTTGTTGGTGTTGCATAATTTTCTGCTATAAATTGTGGGTAAGTGAATGCACCACCTAAACCTAAATTTTTGGTTTGAATTATGACCAACTTGTTTGAGTGGAAGACGTAGGTGTGTCGTTTCTAAGTTTTTGGGTCTTTGGGCATTATAACAAGAGACTCAATACGTTGAATTTGTGGTGAGCATCGCCATTGAAATAATGTTTGTGATTGGTCGACTTGTTTCCTGTTTTATTTGGAATTGCAATTACGATTTTACTCATTAGCATTTTTTGTGAAAGAATAACGTCAAAAATTGCCAAATACAATTGTTTTGTATGACATGGGAACTATTTTCCTTTGCAATATCAAAATGACAAGATCGCAGTAAGAAATTGTTCTGTATGGCATGAGATTATCGGACAAAATTAAAAAGTAAATACTCAATAGGTTGTTAAACGATCTTCAACTTGATTGATTCTTGTCACAGAAAATCTGTAAACCACGACGAATAAAAGAAACATTTTTTTAACATGTGTAGCCTAAGCAGTCGCTAATCACAACATGGTGAACAAGTGAATCCAAGCATTGTTCAATAAATTAATGAGGCACTCCCATGTGTAATATATGAGTTACACACTCAGTGTTTAAAAAATGGGTATCCGTGGAAATATCGATATGTAAATTTATTGAAATATCAATGGATATATCAATATCGATATTTGTTACCTTCGATGGAAATGATGAAAATTTGCTCAAAAATGAGGAAATTTAAAATGAAACTTCAGGGAATATCATATGACAATTTGTCAATATTTAACCTATATGTCGGAAAATATCGACGAAACCTATTGATTTTAGCTAAAATTTAACTGTTTTCCGATGTGGGGGTCAAGTTACTTCACTCTCCACACACACCCCCCCCCCCCCTCTATATCTTTTACTAATTTTTTTAATACCTCTACAAAAAATTCCGGTTACACCTAACTTGGGACTTCCTAAGAAATGTGGCATCTCCTATGCATGACATATGATATGTGGTTTGGTTGCCACTTACCACCACCAAAAGCAGAGCAGTGCGTGTTGCCACGTATGATTTTATCGACGTGGACGACACCATCGGGTGACACGTCACCCATATTTTCCCTTGACGAAATTTCCATACTGGGACCGAGTCCAAGTGCCATTCTCGATCTCAATTCCCACCAACCCCCCCAAACCAAACCAAAACAAAACAATCTTCTCCTTCACCTTAAATTTCTCTATTTTTCAATTCTTTAAAATGCCAAAATCTTCCCACGATTAATATAAAACTACGTAGCTAGAAAATGTAAGATAATCCCACCTGATCGTTTCTCTTATTTAAACAGCATACAAAGTCAGTCATTGTTTGAAATATTGTATATCAATATGCACTGTTTTATTTAATCTCTCTCTCCTCTCTGTCTCTCTCTCTCTCATGGCGGCTGCAACTCCCATTAAATCTCAGCTACATTCCGACCCTTCTTCTCGATTGTTGAAAACCCAATCGAGTTTGATCAGCACAAAGAAAACCCAGCTGGGATTTGAGCCCAAAAAATGGGATCAGCTGGTTATTGGGTTTGGAAAAAACAGAGGAGGATGGAGAAGAAGAACGGACGAGGCTCAGAGGGGGCGCCGACGGGGGATGGCGGTGACGTGTACGGCGGAGGGGATAGAGAGAGGAATACTGATGGGGAAAAACAGAGGAGGAGGAGGAGCGAGAGAGGTAGTGGCTGAGGAAATAGTGAGCGTGCCGGAGAGATTCAAGGTGGCGGCGTTGGTGGCGTGCGTGATGTGTTTGTGTAATGCCGATAGGGTCGTCATGTCGGTGGCCATCGTCCCTCTTGCTGCTAAAAATGGCTGGTCCAGTTCTTTCCTGGGCGTCGTTCAGGTCCGTTACTCTCAACTTCAAACTTTAAACCCGTCTTCTCTATGCTTTCTTTGAGCGCAAAAACCTAGGGCGTGTTTGGGAATGCTAGTAGAGCCAAAAGCACTTTTTTATAAAAAAAAAAAAAAAAAGGCTTATGTCAGAGCTTGTTTATGACCGCATATGTAAGAAGCACTTCTAACTTGACGCTTTTAAGTTCCTTTTATCATTCTAAGTACTTTTAGTTATTTTAAAAGCAATCGTAAACATTATCTTGAGAAGTTTTTTAATTTTAATTAAAAGATTTGAGAAGCTTATGAGCTTTAGCTGTTCTCCCTTCTAGTCAATTTTATCTTTTTGTTTGTTTGTTTTTGTAAAAAATTTGACATTTTGTTTGGAACATCGAAATTAACGGCGATGATAGGATTACCAAAAGGTCCATAGCATCCAAACTGGCGAACACACAGTTTGGTTAGTGTTTGGAATGTGTTTTTGGGAGTGTAGGTATAAACTTTCTTTGCGTGCTGTGCCTCTATGCGCAAATAACTTAACAAGATTGTTAAGCGTTCAAGGATGAGTACCGTTGTAACATTTATTGAGGAGTGTTATTATCCGTCGTGCTTCATTGTTGTCATCCGTTCATAAAAATGAGTTAATAAGAGATGCCTCTAATGGAAAGGAATTGGATCTCATCCGGATCCACTTGTGAGGATCTTGGAGATTCTCATATTTTAGTCATTTATCGTGTATCGTACGGTCAGAAATTATTTAATTTTTTTATTTAAAGTTAAACACATATAGTATCTAATGAAAAATGACCGCATGATGTACGATAAATGGTTAGGATATGGAATCCCTAGGATATCTACAAAGTGAATCCAGAAAGGACCCTCCTCCTAATGGAAAGATGTGAAGTTTCCATCTTTGCACCTATTTTTCACCTTTTTTTTGGAGGTAGGGCCTGCCAAATAAAGAGATCAAAGTAAATGAGATATCAAGTTTACATTATTTAAAAATAGTTTTTAAAATGACTACAAGTGTTTTTGGTGAAATTGTTTTGGGTTCTAAAAGCATTTGAAGTGCTTCCTGTAGGAAGTTTTCCTGCAGGAAGCACTATGCGCTATTTCAAGATTCACTTTGTGCTTTTTCAGAATTCATTTTGTACTTCTTGCATGATTCACTTGCATTTTTACTAAAGATTGGTTTTTAAAGTACACTTTCATCAAAAAAAATTCAATCATTTTAAAAATAATTTCCAACAAGCATCTAGTTTTTATATCTCAAATTTGATTCTCACATCATCAATCGTCTGTCACTTATTAGAGAGATTTTTCAGTATGACCGAAAAAATAAAAAATGTGGGATATGTGTGTTAAGAAGTTAATAATTTAAAAAATAAAATTTATCACCACTTATATGAAAACACGTAGTGTACCATCCGTGTTCCGATCTACAATAAAAATTTTCTCTTCTTCTTGTGCTGTTGTGGAAAAAAGCTTGCCCCTTATTCGTACCCACATCAGATTACACTGCTGAAATATGTCACCCAACCTCATCTCAAGTTGGTTCAATTGTGTAAGTACAAATTGGGCTTGGATGGGGCTCTCAAATAAAAGTTCTAATTTTTGGATTTTATTGCTAGATAATCTTCTTGCACAAATGTTTGATTTTAGCAAAGTTTTTGTAATTAGTTGCAAATGGGGAGGGCAATGGATCCCCGTTTACACTCAAGTTCAAACCTCCCTACTCGTAGACTAGAATAGTTAAGAATGTATATTGAAAAAATTATTTTTATCAGTTGGTAAGTGTGGTAGACAAAATAATCATCTATTACACGGCTCTTTCTAATGAGTTGTAGGGGAACCAGACATAACAGAAAAATTAAAACTAGAAATTAAAAATGAAAAGGTTACAAAATGGGCAATTTGTTTTTATTGTTTGGCTTTTTTTTTTTTTCCTTCTCATTGTTGACAATTTAGAATTTCGAATGATTCATTTTGCAGTCATCCTTTCTATGGGGATACATATTCTCATCAGTGATTGGAGGTGCCTTGGTAGACAGATATGGAGGAAAGAGAGTGATGGCATGGGGTGTGGCCATGTGGTCTTTGGCAACTCTCCTCACTCCCTGGGCTGCCAACCATTCCACCACCAGCCTCTTGGCCGTTCGTGCCTTCTTTGGACTCTCTGAAGGTGTAGCCCTCCCGTCCATGAGCACCCTCTTATCAAGGTAATATAATGTCTCCCTAATCCTTGCTCATAATTATTCATTAGACCTCTAACTGTAGTTACAATAATGCTTGGGTCACCTAATTTGTTAGCAAATGATGTATCAGTGTACTTGTTTTTGGTAACTTGCAGAGCAAGTAAATTTATAGCAGAATTTAGAGAGTTCTTGTAAACAACCTATCAGACACGTTCAACTTGCAATAATTTAAAATTTTAGCTGAAGTCAATCCTCATGTCGCTTGTAATATGAGCAGGTGGTTTCCGAGCCATGAAAGAGCAAGTGCAGTTGGAATCTCTATGGCTGGATTTCACCTCGGCAATGTCGTTGGCTTACTACTAACTCCAGTTATGTTGTCAACAATGGGACTTTCGGGTCCCTTTATTCTCTTCTCCTCGATTGGACTGCTTTGGCTGACAATATGGGCATACACAGTCACAAATGATCCAAGTGAGAGTCGTTACATCAGCAACTCGGAGATCCGAATGATCCAAGCTGGTAAATCTGATTCTCCAAAAAAGGTGGAAAGCTCCCATCTATGCGGCTCCTATTTTCAAAATTACCAACTTGGGCCATTATTTGTGCCAACATAACTAATAATTGGGTGAGTTTTTCTAATATCTTTTACTGTGGATTTCATCCTTTCTTTTCCGCATGCGCAATTGATTCTTAATCATGGTCTACCTTACAGGGCTACTTTGTTCTGCTTTCATGGATGCCGGTTTATTTTAAGACGGTAGGTTCATTTTTCCTAGATCTTTGTTTACGCTAACACCATTAATAGCATAAAAATTGATTGATCGCAAATAAATTTATCATGTTACTGGTTTAGTATTTGTGTGCACATACGTGTTCACGTTGAATTACCAATAGTGGTTGGTGGCAGTGTGCTCTAGGAAATGACGATTTCTATTTTTCTATTGTTATAGGTATTTGGTGTAAACTTGAAGCAAGCTGCATGGTTTAGTGCTGTTCCATGGGGATCAATGGCAATTTCCAGCTACATTGCTGGTGCAGCATCGGATTCATTAATCAAGGCAGGCTACTCGTTGACTACAGTTCGAAAGATCATGCAGGTAGCCCTTGAACTGCCGTCTGTCTCTATAAGAACTTATATAATTCAATCAAATCAAATTAAAATTCAGCTGCACTTACCCGAACATTGTAGTACATTTTTGTAACAAATCACTATACTGAAAAATATTTGTGCGTAACAGTCTATTGGTTTTATCGGCCCTGGAGTGTCATTGCTCGGCCTAAACTATGCCAAAACACCCGAGGCTGCAGCGGTACTCCTCACAGCAGCCTTGTGTTTGAGCTCTTTCAGTCAAGCCGGCTTTCTCCTTAATATCCAAGTAAGTTCCACCCATATAAGCATATGACAGAACTGTCAAACTAAACTAATGCAGCAGATAGTTAATTACCCAATAATCCAATCATAGCCATTAGATGTTGGACATTTGATTTCCAATCTGATCTTAGCTTCTACGGTTTTATTTGATCAGGATATAGCGCCACAATCCGCGGGATTTCTCCACGGTGCGTTATTTCCCATTAGCCCACCACGAAGGGAATGTTTATATTATGTTTTCTTATCTGTTAAATTGGTTAGCTGACTACAATGATTTAATTACATTCTGTGTCAACAGGGATTACAAATTCAGCCGGGACAGTGGCGGCGATAATCAGCACGATAGGAACTGGTTATTTTGTACAATGGTTAGGATCGTTTCAGGCATTCCTAACGGTCACTGCAGGGCTATATTTCGCGACAACAATCTTTTGGAACCTATTTGCTACCGGAGAGCGCGTCTTCTAGACCGAAATTTCCATCAGTTTGCGCAAGTAAATCATTAGCTTACGTTTGTTGGTAAATGTCCGATGTTTATGTTAGGCTAGGAAAATGATGAACATAAAATATTCACTTGGGAGTTCAAAATTAGGGTCATTTGTGGGTCATTTGATCATTTGATCATGTAGAGAGTTCAACTTTTGATTATGCAAAATGTTTGTCTGAAGTGCTTCTGTATTGCATTTGTTATTTTCCATTGCTCTTAAGTTGTATATTTGTAGGTAGTACTACCACAGACTTATTTTTACTTCTCACGCATTCTCTCAATTTTTGATCGCTGGATTGATGTACTGAAGAAGATTAATAGAAAAAAATTAACAAAAGTATTGAAAGGTAAAAAAAGAGGTGTGCAGATAGCACTACCTTATTTTAAATTCATTTGTAGGTGGAAATATATCATTATTTTGTTAATTCTCAATGTGAAATATTTTTTATTTTCCGTTAAAATCCTCAATGGGAAAGTGAATATTAACAAACGGTTAGTTCACCGACCAAAAACTATGTTGAGCCACTATTTATATGAACCACTACAAATATATATATCGTCATCACATTTATATGAATCGAGCCATGCTGGCCAATAATTTTGCAAGATTTTTATTCACTCATAACGTTTATTTTTCTATTTTATAATTTTTTTTTTAATCCTTATTTTTCTTTGTTGAGTCCTCCAATGGATTCCAAGCATATGTTACGGGTGGGCCAATAGGAAAAGAGTAGCATTTCACAATCAGATGAATGTGACATTCTGACTGATATGGTGCTGCTGAAATTATTGGGTGTAAATAACTATTATAGATTAATAGTCTTGTGGTCAAGAAAAAATTATTAATTTAGTAAATATTAGAAAATTGATAAATTATAAGTTTCTAATTTATCAAATGAATTAATAACTTATTAATTTATCAAGGAATTCCGTACTTTCTTATATGTTGTATATTGTATTAGTTTATCGTTTTACGAATTAACAATTGTATGTATTTGATTAACCAAGTAAATTCATGGATCTACTTTTTTTTTTTTTTTTTTTTTATAAACATTTAACCAGGCAAAAATTCTAGGTTAAATAAACAAATGTCATTGTAAATGGGAATTATTAATTTATATATTACATAGGAACTATATAAAAAAAATTTATAATGTATTATCTTATAAATTTAGCTAATTATTAATTTAACATGTTATCTCGAGTTGGGATCGGCCAAAAGTATTGTTATTAATTTATCAAATATTCAATTATCGATGTTCTACTTTATATTTTATTTGAATTCTCTAGAGATATATATATAACTGTATGAGTTCCGGAAGACTAAATTTGAGATCCTTTTTTGGCAATCTCACCTTTAAAGACAAAATTTATACATTTCAATCAAGATGAGTATTTCACGTCCTTTTAAAATTTGTTTGTGAAGACTTTTCGGCCAACAATAGTTATAAAATGCCTATTCCAAAGCATTTTCATCTCTGAATCCAGCTTTCTTAGTCACTTGGTAGTGACCACAGATTTGTGATCACGGGCCCTTGAATTGATGATCTTAAAGGTTTTGATTTAAACATCAAAAGCACATCGATTAAATCTCTACCTTTTATATCAAATCGATGGTTAAGGTGGCCAAGCATCTCTCTTTAGGCTGGTTTGATATTGATGTACTTTGAAAAAAAACTGATTCTGCTATGTTATGAGAATAAGCAGTTGTGAAATAAAGCAGCAGAGTGTTTGATAAACGTTTTTGTAAAAGTGTTTTTGGAGAAAAAAAAAAAAAAAAACAATATTGTAGTGTTTGGTAAACTTTTATGTAAAACAGTTGTGACTGTGTGAAATGACCAAAAAATGTATAATACTAGATGTGCCATTAATTTAATTTTCTTAACAAATAAAGGTGAATTACTAAATATACTTTATTTTTAAAAGAAAAATATTTATAAACTTTATCTTAAACATATATCCAACGCTTAACAAGAAATCATAATCCAACATTATGCTGCTTCACGTTTTCAGTTTTTTTTCAAAGCTCTTTTTTGTTGCTTCACATTTTCAGCTTTTTTCACCTAAAATTGTGAAAATAAGCTGTTTTTAAGTGTTTACCAAACACCTTTTTAAGCTCAGCTTTTTTTTATACCCACTTTTTATAAAAGCACCTCAGTACCAAACCAATACTTTATCAGTTGGTAGAGAACATTTTTGTTTCATCTCTTATTCATGGTTAAGGTGACGAAGCATATCAGCATCAATGAAATGAAGACGATTTCCACGATATCCTTCTTTTTAATATTGTGGTGTCATGATCTAATACGGCAATATCACGTGTAAATTTATCTTCACATTACACTGTATTTGGACGGTACACCGTACACTACGATGTCCATCCTATGCACACCTGGCAATTTCTGACACGACCCGATAACCCGACACGACACGACACGAAATTAACAGGTGTTTGGGTCGACACGATAACGAATCGGGTCGTTATCGTGTACCCGATAAGCACCTGTTAAGATAAACGGGTGGTTCTGGTATACACGTGGGTACACGATACAACTAGCATAATATTATTTTTATAAATTTATAAACCCTAAAAAAATACTATAATATTATATACATTAATTTTACATTTACTACCCCTAAAAATTATAATAAATATATATATATATATATATATTAATTAACTATAAAATTTATAATAATTATAATAATTATATTATACTATAATATATACCCCCAAATATTAAGTCTATCTATAATAATTATATATATCTATATATATTAAATTTTATCAAAACTATAATACTATATTATTAAGACTTTAATATGCATGATGCATTGCCTGATTTTGCATCCATTGAAATTTGATGTGATTTCTTTCCATTCAAATTTCAATAATCCATTTCTTGCCATTGCCAACTTGCCGCCTTTTTGAACCAAAACCATGGAGGGAAAATGAAAATGTGTAAGAAAAAGTTGAAATGAAACAAAAAAGTGAGGGAATTAGGGAAAGATGTTGGAGGGAAAAGTGAAAATGATAAGAAAAAGTTGAAAAGGAAACAAAAAAGAGAGGGAAAATGAAAATTAATAGAAGTGGTGAGAAATTTTTTTTTTTTTTTAAGTTATTAACTTTTTATCACACACATGACTGTCATGATATATCTCACTATTTTTATAATGACACACGTGACACGTGATGTATGTACTATTCCGTGTACCAGTCAATTATAATTTATACGTACAAAATAAATAGATTTAAATCTACTTAATAAATATATATATACACACACACACACGGAACTTGATTGATGGCATACGAATTCTCCAAAACTAATTTCAACGATCCAAACCGTCAAAATTGTTTGTATATGCTTGGAGATCACATCAGCAAAAAATCACAAAAAAAAACATTCTGAGATCAAGTAACGGGACAAAGCTTTTCAACGGTTATAAACGAAAAATCACGATTTAACGGTTATTTTAACTCCGATTTTGATGATTTTTATAACTACACTCCTTGACCCTATATGAATACAATGAATGAATTCGATCTTCAATTTAAAATATTTACACAAGTGGATACCACAAAATCTTATGTTATACTTAATGAAAGTATAAATAAACTCTAAGTGTTAGTCAATCTATCGTTTTACGAATTCTCCAAAACTAATTTCAACGATCCAAACCGTCAAAATTGTTTGTATATGCTTGGAGATCACATCAATAAAAAATCACAAAAAAAAAACATTCAGAGATCAAGTAACGGGACAAAGCTTTTCAACGGTTATAAACGAAAAATCACGATTTAACGGTTATTTTAACTCCGATTTTGATGATTTTTTATAACTACACTCCTTGACCCTATATGAATACAATGAATGAATTCGATCTTCAATTTAAAATATTTACACAAGTGGATACCACAAAATCTTATGTTATACTTAATAAAAGTATAAATAAACTCTAAGTGTTAGTCAATCTATCGTTTTACGAATTCTCCAAAACTAATTTCAACGATCCAAACCGTCAAAATTGTTGTATATGCTTGGATATCACATCAGCAAAAAATCACAAAAAAAAAAACATTCAGAGATCAAGTAACGGGACAAAGCTTTTCAACGGTTATAAACGAAAATCACGATTTAACGGTTATTTTAACTCCGATTTTGATGATTTTTTATAACTACACTCCTTGACCCTATATGAATACAATGAATGAATTCGATCTTCAATTTAAAATATTTACACAAGTGGATACCACAAAATCTTATGTTATACTTAATGAAAGTATAAATAAACTCTAAGTGTTAGTCAATCTATCGTTTTACGAATTCTCCAAAACTAATTTCAACGATCCAAACCGTCAAAATTGTTTGTATATGCTTGGAGATCACATCAGCAAAAAATCACAAAAAAAAAACATTCAGAGATCAAGTAACGGGACAAAGCTTTTCGACGGTTATAAACGAAAAATCAAGATTTGACGGTTATTTTAACTCTGATTTTGATGAATTTTTACAGCTACACTCCTTGACCCTATATGAATACAAAGAATGAATTTGATCTTCAATTTAAAATATTTACACTAGTGGATGTGGATATCACAAAATCTTATGTTATAATTTATATACTTAATAAAAGTATGAATCAACTATAATATTAATAATTATATACATTAATTTAATAATTTTATATCCCTAAAAAGTAAAAACTATAATAATTATATAGATGTAGGTGTAAATTGAATACAATTTCATGATGATCGATGTAAATTGAAGATTTTGTAAATGGAGGTATAAACTTTTGAGAAAGACTTACAATCTTAAAAAAAAAAACTCTTTATCCTTGCACATTTAATATTTGTAATATATTAGTAGTGTATGTATTATTTTTTTTATTAGGCTTTTATTTTCGAGTGTAGATATAGTACTTGAACGAGAAATGTTTTAATGTTTTGAAGTAATATTTATGTGGCAATGTGTGGTATGTGCAAATTTAAAAAAAATATATTTTTTTCTTAACGGGTCATAATGGGTCATAACGGGTCGGGTCACTTTACCCGTTGGGTAAAGTGACACGACCTGTTAAGGACCCGTTAAGATAACGGGTGTGACACGACACGACCCGTTAAGATAACAGGTGTTACACGAAAACGACACGAACACGATAGACACGACCCGTTTGCCAGGCCTAATCCTATGCAAATTCTCGAAATGAAATATCAATTTGGATTTAAGAAACTCTTCAATCCCCCTTGTTGTTTTCAATTAATCAACATGTTAAATCCAAGAAAAAAAAACAAAAACCGGATGATAACTACAAAGTCGCCGCCGTGGAGAAGACTTTTATATAACCTACTTGCATTATTCGAACCACACACAACGCGCACACAGAAACTGTTCACCTTCTCATACTTTTCACCCTGCTCTGTTTCATCCTCCCACAAACACCAACCACACAGCGGATAAAACTAAGATCCATCACCCAAAACTCCAGATTTATATTTTCATCCCATCCTCAAACTCAAATCCCACCACACAAAATTTAATTCAACCCCCAAAAAATTATCCAAACTCAGATTAGATACCAGCTTCTTTTTCTTCTTTTATTTTTCTGGGTTTAATCTCAAAGCTTCCAAAATCTTTCCCGAATCCGAATTCTGATCATTTTTCCACTTGGGTGCTCACAAAAACCAGAATCCTGAACTGGGTTGCTCTTACTTTCACTCCAAGATATGAAATTCAGGAGCTTGGAGGAGTTCTGGGCCTTCTACATGAGCCAGCACTCGAAGCCATCGACGCGGCGCTGGCATTTTGCAGGAACCCTGGCTTCTCTCTCCTTCCTCCTCTACTCGTTGCTGTTTGATTGGCGATTTCTGGTTTGTGTGCCTCTCTCTGGGTACGGACTCGCGTGGTACAGCCATTTTTTCGTGGAGGGGAATATTCCGGCGACGTTCGGGCATCCGTTTTGGTCTCTGTTTTGCGACTACAAGATGTTTGCTTTGATGCTTTCTGGTAATATGGACAGAGAGATTAAGAGGCTCGGAAAGAGGCCTATCTAGCATCTCTTTTGCCCTCTCTTTGGGAAATTTTTCCCAGAGAGCTCCGAAGTGATCTTCCCACTCTAGTTTTCTATTATGTTTGTTTTAGTCTTTGGACAGAAATAAAATGCGAGTGCAAAAGAAGAAAACGAGAGCGTGACAATCACTACTGTATCGTGTGATCGTATTCCATTCTGCATATTGGACCTGTATTTCTATTTTTGAACATGTTTATTTACTTTTAAGCATTATTGAGATATAAATGGATTAGTTTTGTGGGATTATATAGCTTTGGCTTAAATCTTTGATAACTTTTTGCATCAAATTAGGAGTCTGTTCATATTTGGACCGAAGCTTATAGTAGAATGTATTCTATCTTAGGAATGGAAAATGTTATATCTGAAACCATTCACTTTAGGGCATGTTTGCTTACATTAAAACGGTATTAGTAGAATGAGAGTCATTCATATTCCGAATTACTCCGCTGTTTACAAAACTAAGGGGAGTCTGATTCCTGATTTTGAGGGAATCGAAATCTGGAGGGGGAGGTAGTATGAATAACAACTGCGAATAAAAACTGCCTTGCATATTACCTACAAGGTAGTTCTACTCCGTCCGTTTTTAGTCTGGTAGTATGAATCCAACGGGAGTATGTATTTGGGGTGGACTTTCATGTCATGTCGTTATGGCGTCTCGTGTCAATAATATAAAGATATGTGTAAATTTATGTTCACATGTCATTGTATCATTGCTACAAGACGCCACAGTAGCAATGTATCTGTGTTATGTAAATTGCCCTTGTAAATGAAACACGAGAGCAAACCCATTTATGGTAATTTAACTTAGGATGGCCAAAGTTATGAACCGATACAGCTAGGTATAGTAAAGACGGAAGGAATAAATTTGGGATCAACTAGTCATCCTAATTCTTTTCTTTTTTTCAAACAAGAAAATCCTAACCTAGAGACGAAACTGATACCGAGCAAACAGACAAACAAAAACTGATACTCATCAAAAGCAGATTAAACCCTGAATGATCAAACCTGCTCTGATGCCAAGTTGAATATCAAAGTACGCGACGAACAAAGTTACAGAATAATAAGAATATATTAAACAAATAAGAATGCCGCAACGGCTAATAATTTGATATGTTTTAGTTAACAGATAGAAAGTCGACGAGTCGAAATAATTTCAATTCCAATTCTTTTCAAGTAAGCATGTCTTAGTGATCCAAACTTGGAGAGGCCTACTGAAAGTACTAAGGGGTTGAATGAAAACTGAGATTGCCAATTTATAGAGATACATATAGAATCATCCTCTAAACAATTATCATTGAAAAACTTGGATTTGGTACTCGTTCCTTGACTCATATTCAACTATGTTACAAGTTCCGACATCTATTTGCTCAAAACTCAGTTTCTTTTCGGCCAAACCAAAGATCAATCTTAGCTTGATCATAAAAAATAGAGCGCACATTGTTGTCATATCCGCCACGGTTTCTGCACTTTTTCGGGTGAGAATGGCCGTCACAATTCGTGAGCCTTAGCATCTGTCTTTGTATTGATAAAGGTTGAACGTTTAGTCGGTGTTTCGCGAAAATGATGGCAAAGGCACAGCTTCTTGTGGACGAAGGATTACAAGCACGCCAAACATTCCAAGCATTGGTAGGACAAGCAGCCACTTGAGGAGTCTATAGTAATACATGTGGAATGTGAGGGAGAAATCGTCTGAAAAGTAGAGTCCGTTCTTGTCAACCATCTCCACCAAAACAGTACCTGTAGTCCTTACACCAACTGTCGGAAGCTTCATACGATGCTTTCCAGGACGATTGAAGGTCTCGTTTATTCTTATCGTTCTCTCTCCTTGGTAATTACCTGGCACTAACAGCGTTGCCTGCATAGTTCAAAAAAAAAAAAAATTATATATATATTGACTGAGTTTTGTATATTAGACTCACAAGCTACTTGCGTGTGTATACAAGAGACAGAGGAGAGAGGGCCATGTAGTTGACTTTGGCCAAAATAATCGGAAGGAATGAGCAACTTACTGTCACATTATATGGTGCTTGCAACCCAGATGGGTATCTATAGCTATCTATAATCTCAATCTCCACCCAAAAGTTCTTGCCCTCTTCATCACGGAAAGCTCTTGATGAATGCGAAACAAAGATACCTTCACGGTTATACCTATTTGCAACATGGTTTCTCCCTTGATTTGGTGATCTCCATGCCTGCGAAAGGATACACAACAAAGAAGATTAAAAACAAAATATTATCACCCAACAAAAAGCAAAAAATAAAAACTGAAGACAACAGAAGAAACTATCGACAGATCAAGCTTGAGATCTATCATGCCTTGAGGGGATGCTGCACAGCAGGAGTCGAGAAGCAAAAGACATTGCCATTCATGGTTGAAACAATAAGATCAAGATCATCCCCACCATCAACATTGTCTGCTAAGACCATGCTATATCTGTCATGCAGGGATTAATGTTTCAGGTAAACCATGGAAAGGGGGAGAACTAATTAAAGATGTAGGGACATTGAAGAATTTAAAAACATCTTACGAGGTTTCACCAATATCGACCACATCGGCGCATGATGTAGGTCCATCAATTACATACAGGTAACCATCAAACGAAGTTGTAACAAGGCTAAGTCCCTTCTTTTTATCTCCTTTTTTACTTAAATCAACTAGAAGAACTTGATTCATAACTCTCCCGTGAGTTCTATATGGATAAGGACGAACAATTGACCCATCTTTGCCACTAAGAACGTATATGTTCCCGGATAACGTTGGAACCACAACATCAGTATGGCCGTCCCCATCAACATCACCAATAGTAGGACCCTGAGGAACAAAACTCTGCATCAGATTCGCTAGGAATTATACAAGCCAAGTTGTAATTTACCAGGTTCTTGAAGAATGACAAGCAAAAATTTGTGCATGCAAGTTTAAAATTGCTAATCTCTCCAGAAAAATGGTAGACTAATCTCACCAGGTCCAGAGCAGAAAAAGAAATCAGTAAACAACTGAACCAACTATTGTACTAGTACACAACTTAATATCAAATCAAACATTTAACGTACCTGGGGAACTAGACTCTTAAGATGCCTTTCCCAAATTTCTACTCCTTTAGTAGTCCATGCAGCAACATTTCCATGAGCATCAGCGGTCACTAGTTCAATTTTTCCATCATCATTGATATCAGCAGCAACAACAGCTCCTTGAATTTCAGCCATTTGAAGAGGAAATTTTTCCCTGATCTTGCCTGAACAAAAGAAACCATTCAATTTCCGTATCACTAAACAGAAAGCATTCTATGTAACATCAAAGATGATTCAGCGTCTTGTATGCCAGGGAACTTAAAGCAACTCATGCACTCTGAGGTAAAAATGTCAGCAAACGCAGCAATGACAGCAAGAAAAATTAATTCACCATGATGGTCCAAGACATAGAACAAGCCAAAGGAAGTTCCAACAAGAATGTCCAGATTCCCATCACCATCCAAATCCACCACAGTTGGAGAAGAATATATATGAGCATGAAACTTCTCAGTCTCTGTACTCAGATCTAGTTCCGCAGTCCACTTAACTTGCTTTGTGTCGAGATTAAAAACAACTACTGAGCCAGCAACATATTTTGTAAGATCAATGTCACCCAGTTCCTTCCGATGATCTTCATTGGACTCGTAATACCTGCGAACGTACAAGGTAGGAATTTACTTTCAAGCCATTAATTACTAAGCAAACTCCAACACACAGTTCACATGGTTCACATTTCAATCTTGGATGATGCTGCATAACAAATGATAAAGAAAATGCACCAAATTGATTTTGCAGGAAGTGTAACTTAAAGGGTTATTACAATTTATTGTATGGATGAAGGAAGAAACCAAGAGCACAGTAAATTTCTAGATCAAACAGAATCTACCTACAACTTAAAATAATCGTTCTATTTCATTTACATCATATCTACTGATCTCGTGAGTGTCTCCTGGTCAACACAAATAGTGCTATAGTTTTGAGATCATTGGCGGCCATACCAGGTCATTACAACTACTCCAAATGCAGATATAACTCCTACAGTCCAGATTGTATACTGCTTGCAGTATTTACATGAAATATATACATATGGTACTTATTTGTCAAACTTACAGAAATAAGTTAAAAGATATGCTTGCTTTGATAAATCCTATAGTGTACACCATGCCTAGAAAATACTTGCTTTATCAGAGTCTAAACTGTATAAATCCTCTAAAATAAGAAGGTAGACACCTTCAATGGGAATTTAAAGTGAAACTTGATGTGATTTCATTCCACTCCAAAAATATTAATAAATAAGTGAAATTTGATACTATGGAAGAGAGCTCACTCGTGATCAAAGAAGTAAGATACAGCAACAACCATTTCTGATACTCCATCATTATCAATGTCCGCTATGACCTGACAGAAAAAAGAAATCATCAACCAAATATAACTTGCATATGGCAAAGGAGTGAATAAGTATCATGCCTACATACATAAATCCATGTGCAGTGTGCCCATACATGTGTATAGAAGAAACATTAAAGTTAGAACTCACAGGAGTGCAGAGGATGTGTGCATCAACATTGACATAATCCTCCATTTTCTCGTGCTGCCCTTCAGCCCATTCCTCATCTCCCCACATTGATTCATCAACATAATCATCGTAGTCATAAGTATACTCATTGGCAAGTTCCTCACTGTTACGGAACAACTCAAACGATGAATCAGCATCTGCTTCCAAGCTTCCCTCATTTTGTACAGTTGCAACAGGAACATCCTCCTTATTATTCTCTTTGGATCCAGAACCACCATCCTGTGATTCGCTTGAATTTTTATCTTCTAAAAGCCGTCTACCAGATCTAGTTCCATTCACTACATTAACAGTTTCCTCTGACACATTTTTTACAGCAGAATTGTCCGTGCCCGTAGGCAGCTTGATGACTGTTTCCACCTGACTTGAATTTGTTTCCCCTTTATTCTCTGGATTTGACGCATTTACCATGCCAAGGTTGCTCTCTTTTGAAATAGTTGTTGAATTGTTTAAATCAGGAGTTGAAATAGTAGCTGAAGTGTTGGAATCGGGAGTTGAAATAGAAGCAGAATTGTTTAACTTAGCTGTACTTCCATTTGTTTCTACAAAAATAACCAACAGTTGCAAACATGATTAGTTCCCGTTAAACTTAAAAGGAATACTTTCACAATCATATAACGTCAGAACTGTGTCAGGTGACTCAGCATGCACTTCCTAAAGGTCTACTAAAGTGGATTATATGAATAAGGACACTCAAAAACAATAGCAGTAGCAAGAAAAACTACTTTAACGTGTAAATGGCTTACGATGAGCTGATTCCACAGCCTCCATGACAAGAGAATCATCATGGACATCTGGATGAGTACGATCCACGGGATCCGAATGCAAACCCCCATACCAGTTCTTTTTAACTTTCCTACGAGGTACTACTAGTTTATCTACCATCATGTAACCTGAGACCCTAAAAGAACACAAAAACTTTTATGAGCTTGTGGATGCTGATATAGGATTGCAGACAAGAAAACAAATTGTAAAATATTTAGTAACATCAGTCGGGCAATGTAACTGAATTACCTGAAAAATAAAACTTCCCCATTGTAGGTTGCCAAAGTTATTTCTCTCACACCATCCTTGTCAATATCATACAGGAGAGGACTAGCATGTACCGTTGACTGGTGGAAAGCAGGCCAACCTGATGAATCATCAAGCAGGTACTTAGAAAATCACTTCAAGAAAATTCAAGACAGCTTAATGTAATGAAAGAAATGAAATTGGGTCATACCTGGATGTTTGTCTCCATCAGCACCTTCAAGAACTTCAAGATAGTGAACGAAAGAAGGAACCACGATCTCAAGCTTTCCATCACTGTAATAAGCGAAAACGAATACCCGAAAAAAAGGCCCCAAAAATCAATGCTGGACACAAACTTGATCTCTTGGTAATCTCAAAATGCACAAGTAAATACACAGAATTTCCAACCAAAGCACAATCATTTTCGTACCTATTGATATCGGCGATCAAGGGTGTAGCATATATACTGGAACTAACTTCCGTTTGCCATCGGAGCTCCAATTTCGCAGGGCACCGCGAATTCAACAAGGCATCCTCATCTCTAACCAAACGCACACATCCAACAACAGAAACCCATTAATCAAATGCAAAAACTCCGAACAGAATTAAGTAAACATTTACACAAATCCCAGCGATTATACACTAATCAAGGCAAATAAGACGGATTAAGAAAACGAATATGCATACATGCTCGGATATCCAAGGGCGTCGTCGCTGGCCTCTCGTTCCCGGAACTTATTCTTCGCCGGCTCCTCGCCATGAACGAAGCTCGAACCGGCGCAGAGAATTAGACAGATCAGAAAAGCCCTAATCGCTGCGGATTCCATATGATCCGGTTTGCTTCAATCGGATTGGGGAAGAAATTGCGGGGTAGAAGATAAACCCCAGCTAGGGTTCTAAAAACGTCTCGGCGGTGTGGATTTAGGACATGGATGGCTGCGCGGAGTCAACAGTCGAGGACTGCGATTGGAAATGCCACTCGCGTTTGAGAAAATTACGATTACGCGAGAGAAATGTGAAGGGAGCTGTTTTATAACTTCGCAGAGGATGAATTGAATGCCGATGATGTTTGAGGATTCTGGGTCGGGTGACCGCTGTGTGGGTATCACGCACGAAATGTGACGTCTACGGAGTGACACAGTTAATCGTGATTCTTGGAGACTACCAGTGTGACAGTGTCTGCTCTCTGCTGCCTCTGGTCATTGAAGGGACTTAGACCTGGTTTGGTACTGAGAGCTGTTTTTGTGTTTGGTAAACACTTAGTTTCAGCTTTTTTTTACAGTTTTTGGTGAAAAAAAGCCAAAAACAAGAAGCTGCAAAACCTAGCTTTGAAAAACCGGTCTTTTTTCACATCTGTTTTACATAAAAGTTTATCAAACACTCTAATACTGCTTTTTTTTTTCAAAAGCACTTTTACAATAAAGTTTACCAAACACTTTGCTGTTTTATTTCACAGCTGCTTATTCTCACAACACAGCAGAAGCAGCTTTTTTTCAAAGCACAGCAATACCAAACCAGCCCTTAGACCTGGTTTGGTACTGAGGTGATTCTGAAAAAAGCTGGTATCAAAAAAAGCTGGGAGCTGTTTTTGTGTTTGGTAAACATTCAGTTTCAGCTTTTTTTCACAGTTTTGGATGAAAAAAAGCCAAAAACAAGAAGCTACAAAACCCAGCTTTGAAAAACCGGTTTTTTTTCACATCTGTTTTACATAACAGTTTACCAAACACTATAATACTGCTTTTTTTTTTCAAAAGCACTTTTACAAAAAAGTTTACCAAACACTCTGCTGCTTTATTTCACAGCTGCTTATTCTCACAGCACAGCAGAAGCAGCTTTTTTTCAAAGCACAGCAATACCAAACCAAACCTTACATCCCAATCCAACTTAACAAGGACTCATGCTTGAGAGCTTATTGGGCAAGTACTTCTATATGATTAAAACCGTTTTTTTTTAATTCAAAAACATTTTCTTTAAAAACGCTTTAAATCATTTAAAAGCATTTGTCGAACGAGCAATTTAAAAGCACTTATCAAGCGAGCCTTAATATTTTGCTACCAGAACATTTGATAATCGTTTTGTTTTTAATTTTTAGTTTTAAAACCCGTTTTGTCATTACATTTTCAATTTCGAAAAAAGTGAATTAAAAGAAAAATTGAAAACAAAATGATCCTCAAAAAGTCTTTTAAGATGATTGTTCGGGTAATGAAATTACACTAGAAAGTGAGCCGAAATAAAATGATTTAGTGCCACGTTATTTACTAAGAAAAGTAATTTCCGCACCATTTGACCTTATACGCTCTTTTGCTCAATCTTGTTCGTTGAGTTCCCTTTTATTCAACACATTAGCACTAGGGCATAAAACTAAAATCACACGAGCTTAAAATGCCTCCAGAGTAGTGAAGTCTTGTACGCCAAACAACGCTAGGAGAACCGAAAGGTCACCAAGGAGCCCACAACAATAAGCATGCAGTTTATGAACTTGATCAAATTGAACTAGGAGATGCATCATCTCTAAAACAATAATTAGCAAAACAAATCTCTCAAGTAATCATATGAAGCCCGATGCTACTAGACGGTGACGATTTGCACATCTACGGACAGACAACTGCCAAATCTACGGTTAAGAGGACAAGTAGGCAGCATGTCTCAAACAAATTCAACGTGGAAAACACAGATAAAGTAAACCAGGATTTGGGGAGAAAGGGGTGTTTACCTGTTCCCAAAGTTGTCTATTCACATGAAAAGGGTAAGGCGAAACCTAAAAAATGCCTACCTTTTTAAACAAGTTAACAACATAATTCATCATAATATACAGATCTGACTCTAACCCTACTCCTCTTCATCTGAACTACTATCAGAACCAAATAAATGTGACAGTAATCCCGGGGACTATCTGGCGGCGTATCAAACTGGACCAAACAACTCACCAGCACAGCACTCAGTATGAATTATAGCTAGGATTAGGAAGTTACACAGTAAATATGTGATTCATCGGCTGATACGCCCAAATTATACCCAGCTTCGAGCAAAGAGAACTCTGAACGACTTGCCAAGCAGGTGTCTCTGGGCACTACTATCAGCAAACCTCTGCAAGAAAACCCGGTGATGATAAAACCTCCGCAAGTCACCTCCTTCGTGCTGCATTTGCATGCTGCTGGGCTGCTTTGCTATCATTCCGTATCCTATCAGCATACATAGGCAGACGAATGATCTCATAGATCTCATTCAACAAGATGTCCTGCGTGATATTGTCTTTTATGCTTCGCATGACCTGTTTTTCAAGTCAGCAATCAATGAGCCCAAAGTGGGATTAAACAAAAAAATACTAATTTATTTAAAATATGTGGAGAAGGACCTTCTTGTAGGTATTGATATCATTTGGAGTTGATTTGTCAGTCCTGATGCGCATAAGGACCCATTCTTGTTCTTCACCATCCCAAGAACACTCGATTATTTTTCCGGAATAAGATGAGGGATCTTCGCCATCTGCTACGTAGGAATACAATAAAAATAAAAAAATAAAAGCATTTAGGTTAAACGCAACAGGATCATACCAAATCACACCCAGCGAAACATAATACTAGATGTTAGTGCAAATTAGATTGTGGAAGATGATATGATGAAGTAACCATTATTTTATCTAGGTTTCCCAGAACCCTTCAAGCAATAAAGGGAAGCTATAAAAACAACAAAAGTTCTCATCCATCAATTTCTAACATTTCCTTTTTTGGGATCAATCCACATGTGTATGCATGCAAGTCCTTCACAGGTTTAAACAAAAAGAAACAAAATAAATGTTCTTATAAAGTTAGGGCCTATTGAGACTGCTTCAGGAAGGGCAAAAAGTGCTTTCTGAAAACCACAATACTTCTATATATATTTGACAAAAAATAAAACTTCAAAAATGCTTATGGGTCATAGAAATGCTTTCTGGAGAAGCACCTGCCAGGTTCTTCTTCAGGAAGCACCCCAATGCAAAACTTCGGCTGTACCAATAATGATAAAAACAGAGTCACGTTTTAAACAGAAAAATCTGAAGATATTCATGTCGACCTTTAAACGCAACTCTATTTCCATCCATTAGTTTCTTCTTTCCACGTTCAAACAGATAAAGATGCTGCCGATCATCATTGGTTACCTGTCCACACAAGCAACTTCATATGAGAAAACAAGCACAGAACAAATTTAAGGTAGATATGGAAAGGGAAATGAGAGATTCAGAAAACAATAGCTTAAGTGACACAATAGAGTTTTTATAACAAAAATAACTAAATAAAGTTGATAGCACAACCTCAAAGAGAAAATCAACCGAGTTCATATGAGAATATTTCCACTTTAGAAGTCCTGCATGTGTGCGGGGAACATATGGATCATCCCAACCCTAGCATATCAAAAATATACATTATTATTCTATGCAAACAAATCAGAGAGAGGACTGCTAATTTAGAACCAATAATAGGACCTGACATGGCAATAAACAAATTCTATTGCCAGCTAACCAAGTAATTTGATACCAATAAAAAAGCTCAAATGATATTTTATAGAACTACCTGAAAGATAAGACCATCAGCATCATGTGAAAGCCTTGGAATAAATTCCTTCAAAAGCTTGTTTACTGTAGAGAGCAACCAAAAGTCCTTCCTCCTCACCTGATTGAACACACTGAGAAAATTAATCTCGGCAAAAAGTAAACAGTGGAATGAAGTTCAATGCCAGAACACAGATCTTATTGATACATACCCTGAATGGTTCCAAGTCATATCTATAGTAAGGATTCCTACTTTGGTAAATATTGTGGCGCTCATGATTCCGGGGTTCAATGACTTCTTTCTCAAGCATCTTCCACCGTTCATAAAAAGGCCGCTGCAACAATTCTAAAAGATTAGATTGTATAATGGGTAGCTTAACATTACTGAAAAAAATTAGGGATAAAATTGTAACAAAATATGATAACAATTCTATAAAAAAACAAGGCAAGTGATAACCTATGCACTCGTATGGTTTGATTAGGCCAACATAATATACTAACGCAATTTACAACCTTGACACACCATCACAATGCATATATTGAAGTTGGATCCAACTGTTATTTTACAATTTAAGACAATATAATCTTGCAGATACCACAAATTATGATTATATGGGTGTCATAAAATCACAGTGCATATACCTCTTCAAGTTGATTGTACCATACCTAACAAAACAAGAAGCCAATTTTGTGCACATTCCCAATACTCAAAATCTAGGACTCCCTTTATTTCTGAAAATTCACTCCCTATGTTCGGTTTACAGTGTGTTACCAGTCGCCAAATGACTTACATGTTGGCTTGCACAAAAATCTAGCCCAAGTTTGAACAATGAATTAAACAATATAGTTGTTATACCTTGTGATTATAAATACAATATCTTAAATTCTGAAGTTTGTGCATCATAATTTAAGGGGTAGATCACCCAACAAGGGACAGATAAAGGGCAAACCCACCTCTATGATAGGAACATGATTGATTGCCATCATATCATAGATCAGGTATCTTCTCTCCTGCTTCTTTGAATCAGGCACGGTGTCAATTACCATCTCCCCATCCAATAACGTGTAGTGGTGAGTCTTCTCGGCTAAACCCTTAAAAGACAAAAAATGAAAAAGAAATAAACAAAGAGAAACAAGGTCACTCCAAGTTGTCAAGGATGCGCTACATGAAATCTTCCTGATATCATTAACCTTCCAAAAGTGCATACATACATCATTTGTGTGTTTGCAGGGAAACCTCATTTGGACCCTTCTAAAATTAAAATTTCTATCAACCAAGTAACACCCATCCATGGTTATTAACATCATATATCGTGTTCCATCAGCCTTCCATGTAGCATAATAATAACGTTGCCTCAACAGCTGTAAGTTGTCCCTGCATGAATGAGAAGGAAGTCCATTCAGATGACAATATCAAGATGAATAAGCATGCAACATGTATAAAGCAGTACATGAGAATAGAGCAAATATGTGATATGCAGTACACGAGGAGTCTTTACAGATGCACAAGTAACTTGTCATCTACCAGCCAACAATTATTAAGAAACCATGCACATTACACCACCAAAGGTCTAATAAGATGCAATCAAATTTCATGCCACACTGGGTCTCTTTTAAAACTAACACATTATTACGGGACATGATAGT